AGATTTTGGGGAGAAACAAAGGTGGCTTCCTGCCACATACTGTACAACTGTAATAGGATGCATCTTATATAGTGATTTTCAACATTGCTTCAGGAAAGTCTTGTCCTTTTTTGTTTTCTACTTTCCTAGGGGAAAATCAACTCTCATTTGTCAGTTATCTGGTCTTATTTCCTCAGAGGTCATACCTTCCTTTTCCTCTCACTTTGCTTCCTTTCTGGCAGCAAACGAAATGCCAAGAGTAGCTGACCATAGTGATACCACATCCTCAGTGAGAAACTAAATAAAATATGAAACAGTGTCACATCTTACTCTAACATACTTTTAAAAATATTGCAGGTACCTTTTGTATCTTCAGCTAAAAAGGGACATTTTCCATGGCCGTTTGCTGTGTTCTTTTTCTGATGCTGCCTATCTGGGTGCCTGTATTGTCCAAGGTAAGTGCAGCCAAGAGTATGTTGGGAAGATTTTTCAGTATCTGGAGAGAGATGTTTTTATATAAACAGCAAAAAGTTAGGAATATATTTCAAAGCATTTCTGCATACAAGTATAATCAGTTCTATAGGAACTAAAGAACAGACAAAATGTGTTAGACACTAGGGCTGTGCGAAGCGTTGGTCCCTGGTTTGATTTGGCAGAGATTCAGCCAGATTCAGCAGCTGAATCTCCGAATCGAATCAGGAGACCCTTTAATCTCTCTGAATCGAATCGGAACCCTTCAAATCAATTCAACGATTCAGACACAGACACAGCTTTAAATGTTTTTTCTACATAGCTCAAGGTACCAAGGGGCTTGCGAACAGCGAGATGGTGGAGTGGATGGAGTGTCCCACAGGAGCATGGGGGGCTCCCCACTTCCAGCTCCACTTCCAGGTCCATCGGGGAGCATGCCAGGGGTCCCCCTAGCTCCCCTGGATTGACGACTGGTGCCTCCTGGGTATGGGAGGCACCTGGAGTCCGAACCGGGGGCGGGGCCCATGAGCTCAGTGGTGGACACATAATCAGCATCGAATCAGTGCTGGTTCTCTGAATCAGCATTGAATCTTCAGATTCAGATTGGGCTGAATCAAATTGGGGACAGTGATCTGAATCAATGAATCTAATCACTGTCCCTTATTTGGGCCAAATCCGAATTGAATACGGTCCATTTCGCACACCCCTATTAGACACTAAGTTCAGATGGCATTTCTGTGACACAAGAAGCCTGAGTGATGGATCCCAAAGCAGAGGTTGAAAAGTACAGTTGTGATGATGATCACCTCACTCTCCAGGAGTACTGTCTTTATTTTCCTTTTCCCTTGGCAGCCAATCAAAGGTAGGTTTAGAAAACTTAGTAAAGCTAATGAGTACCGCATGATATGGCAGCTTGTTTGGGATTGTTAACCCAGTAATGAGCATGAAGGAAACAGAAGGTGACAGTGGCATACCACTAGTATTGGAGGGTGATTCAGTTTTCAATTACTGAAACAGGATCCCTGTATCCCTGTATTGACCCCCTGGCCTGTCCTTATAGGCCAAATTTTGAGGAAAACTGGAGGTCCCTCAGTACTATGTCTATTTTTGGTTGTTACATTTCAAGAAAGACATGGCAAAACTGGAAAGGCTTTGGAAAAAGCAAAAACAATTATTAGAGGTCTAGAAAACATGACATTTGAAAGACAGTTGGAAGAAATGGTTTATGTAATTCAGGAAAGAGAAGACTGAAAGATAGTTTGCTTATAGTCTCCAAATACAAAAAGGGTTGTTATAAAGAAGATGGCAGTTGGTTTGTTTTCTGTATCCACTAGGAACAGGAGAAGAAATAATGAGCATACATTGCAGCAAGGAAAATGCAGGTTGCATATTCCAAGTATAAGGCTAGTTAAACACTGCAGCA